ATTAGCTGAGAAATCAAAGAAAACAGCCAATTTTCTACCTCACATTTATGAAATTCCTGTTTGATGTATATGTGCATGTGAATAAAGCTTAGAGGATCTGAAGAGTTTAGTCGTTTGAGATAAAAGCACTTTAGACGCTATACACACAGTAAGGCCAATGACAGATTTTGGGGAAAGAGGAACAAATTAATCAAAGAGGTCAGATGTTTTATTTGGGATTGTACATACAGTCATTTCATTGATGCTGGAAGAGATTCAGGAGCTCAAAGGACTGGGAGATTTCTCTAATTCTTTTGGATTAATCACTGGTTTTCTCAATGTGACCACAAACAAGTATAACCTAACATGAGCATTAACAAGCCTATTAAATGTTTTAAAGTGAACTCAAAGCCATTGTATTAACTACAAGAACACACTTGAATAATTTTTACTTAGAAATACTGGGAAACTGTGGGTAAAATTGGCTCTGCAATTATTCAGCCTGCACCTGCAATTTCAGTCTCATTTCATCTGCTCCTGTTTCTGGCACTCACTATGGAGCTACAAAAACATTGCTCAGGCTCAAAACCTACTTCTGATTTACTGACCTTTAATTTCAGAGTGGCAAATATTTTTCATTAAGCTTTGAGTGGAAGCAATTTGTCTCCCAAATATTGATTATAATGAAGATATAAAAATAGATACAGCCGATATCCAACTAGCAGCAATTAAAACACAGAAACACATCCCTAACAACCCAGAGTTATCTCCCACTGCTTCTGCACCCTTACTTTTCCAGCCCTGGCTCTCCTGCAGTGCCAAGGCACAGGGTTATAACTGTGTAATGAGGACCTGAACAAACCTCATTAAATTTCTAGCATCTCCCATTTCTCCCCTGGTGCTCCCTCAGGCTCTGCTGGGACCTCTTGTTGTTTTTAATGTGCATAGATGACTGTCTAAATAACTATTTATTTACACATGCATATGGAATCACAGCATCACAGAATGGTGTGGGTTGGAAGGGACCTTAGAGATCATCTAGGTCAAGCCCCCCACCACGGGCAGGGACACCTTCCACTAGATCAGGTTGCTCAAAGCCCCATCCAACCTGGCCTTGAACACTTCACAGAATCAGAATCCTAGCAGGGTAGGGGTTGGAAGTGACCTCTGGAGATCATCTTGTCCTATCCCCCTGCTCCAGCAAGGTCACCCAGACCAAGTTGCCCAGGCTCACATCCAAGCAGGTTTTTTATCTCTCTAGAGGAGGCTCCAGAACCTCTCTGGGCAGCCTGCTGCAGGCTCGGGCATCCTCAAAGTAAGGATGTTCTTCCTCCTGTTCAGATGGAACCTCCTGGTTTCCAGTTTGTGCCCGTTGCCCCTTGTCCTGTCACTGGGCATCACTGATCAGAGTCTGGCCCCAGCCTCTTGCTGCCCATGGGCCCTTTAGCTCTTGATCGGCACTGATCAGATC